CCGCTGTGCCACTGGGGGGCACAGTTATAGCATTGATAAGAATTTTACAGCAAATATTTATTCATTAGTTAGCTGGGCCGAGTATTTTGTTTAACCCGCCGTCATGCCCCAAACTGACGCACACTCAATCCTTTTTTGGCCGCACCTTTTTTATTTTCACACCTAAGGTGTTTTTGATTGGATATACAACTAGCTAGACTGCTAGAGTATGAAATATGAACTCGTTTGTAACAAAGGATAGGACACTGTGCTTCTATTTGTTTTGTAACATAATAAATATTAAAATGCAATAAAAAGAAATACTGCTTTCAAGAATTCTATCAATATGAAATTAGATAGGGGGTCCCACCATCCTCATGTTACCCTGTATCACCGTGTCAAGTTGTGCTGATTTGGTAGTTTGCCTGAAATTAGACATGAAATTAGATGGAGGTCCAAATCCCCCTCATGTCATCATGTATCACTGTGTGAAGTTGGGTGCTGATTCATCAAGAAATGTGGAAATGTATAAGGAACAAGTAGCTGAAAGGTGCGAAGAAACAGACACAAACCTAGCTTTATATATTAATCAATTGAAGGTTAAATGTTTGCTAAATTCTAGCAAGAATCTCTGTCATAAAAATAATTTGCATTTGTAAACGCTTTCCCATCATATTACTTTTGCGTAAAGTATTAAAATCAAAACAGACTACATAAAAAACTGATTATCATTTGGAATATACCTTAGACTACCCTAAAAAGCTACATAAAGCGCATGCGAACTAAAGATTTGTAATCTGAAAGAAGTGGTGAAATAATATAATTCATAGAAAACTTTTATATATATAGACAATAATCTCAATATGTTTATTTTACTTCGATATCGTACTAATTAGCCACGAATTCCGGTTCATTGTTTTGTAATAGACTAACATTAGGAAAATTTGAAGTCATTTAGTAAAAAATTTGAAACGATTATTTTAGCAAGGGATCACACTTACATAAGTAAACGTATGGCCACCATCGTATACTGCTGAAAGGTTGTACATATTCTTTTGAATAAATAACTTTTTCCACTTAAAACCGATGAGATTGTAATTAAATTTTATATTATTATTTACATAATTACAGTCTGAGAGTATTGTAATTATGTTCAATCTGAATTATATGTTTCATTCCAGAAATATACCACCTGAAAAAGAAGCCAAGGTCAGTTGTAAGTTGACACCAAAAACACCAGGGGAGAAAACCATTGTGGCTAAGTTCCAATCCAGAGAGTTGGAAGATGTGGACGGATTCAAAAACATCAATGTTAGGCCTAAGACAAACTTGACGAACAAGCCAGACAGCAACAACTGAACTGATTTGGCAGCGTAATGTTGTTAAGTGTTAATGATTAGTAAAGTGGCATGTTTAATTCTAACCGTGGCGCGTATTTGTGCCCAAAAAACGTTGTTTATGCTTTAAAAACTTTTCATTGCAACACACCCTTCAGTGTTCGCTCCTTTGTTTACTATAATGACCAATGACATGCGATAGCAGCAATACAGTGACACTAGAGCTTTTTGAAGTTAAAAAGAAAAAAAATTACATGTTTTAATTTGGGTTCTGAAAGTAAAAATCAATGCCAGTGTCTAAATCAATTTCATCAATCGAGAGACTATATTAAAAATTTAATTATATAAATCATAATTAATACATTAGTTTCGGTTTTTACGCATATCTATCTTTGATCACGTTTTCAAGGGGTATCACTTAAAAATGAATTTTATAAGAAGCTCCGAGATAAAAAGTGAGATTTCAACTAGTCTTAGAATAGACTAGTTTGATTCCTTTCTATTTAAACGTTAAGGTAACGAAAACCAATTTTTTGAAAAACATAAATGTTTCAACTTATGCAGGTTTGAATACATGGACGGTGTTTAAGAACTTCCACTTTGAAGTTTTTACCGTATTCTTTATGATGGTAGCGCCCGCCGCCTTTATGTTTGCTGCTATCGTAATCTCCTTTTTTTTTAGCCATTTAAAAATAGGCATGTTATGCTTTGGAATGCATTCTTTAGTAATGAGTGTGTGTTTGTCTGGTTATGTAAGCACTTGATACAAAACAAGGAACCAGATTAATTAAATATGGGATGTATTATACTGCACATATGGTTCCAGTTAAAAAAAATATTAAGCGCTTCCATTATTAGCGTTTGCGTGTATTTATGAACACGATAATCATTAAAATGAAGTTCATGTGAAAACAATTGGGTTTACAGTATCAAGTGTTTAAAATTTCTAATGGAAAATCATCATTACAGATTCAAAATGTTATCGGTGAGCTAACAAAATTTATCCCTTTTGGGGTGACAACAGAAAGTTCAATCTCGGAGGATTAAAAAAAGAAAGAAAGAAAGCAGAGCCAGAAAAATCCTTCTGCTCTTATTTACATTGACTTACACTGGAAGATAATTATTATTCTTCTGCTCTTATTTACATTGACTTACACTGGAAGATAATTATTATCCTTCTGCTCTTATTTACATTGACTTACACTGGAAGATAAATATTATCCTTCTGCTCTTATTTACATTGACTTACACTGGAAGATAATTATTATTATTCTGCTCTTATTTACATTGACTTACACTGGAAGATAATTATTATCCTTCTGCTCTTATTTACATTGACTTACACTGGAAGATAATTATTATCCTTCTGTTCTTATTTACATTGACTTACACTGGAAGATAATTATTATCCTTCTGTTCTTATTTACATTGACTTACACTGGAAGATAATTATTATCCTTCTGCTCTTATTTACATTGACTTACACTGGAAGATAATTATTATCCTTCTGCTCTTACTAACAGTGACTTACACTGGAAGATAATTATTATCCTTCTGCTCTTATTTACATTGACTTACACTGGAAGATAATTATTATCCTTCTGCTCTTA